TGGGTATACGGCAAAGGCAGCAGTCAAGAGATTTTACCAATTCATTGGCCAGGCCCTGTGAGGAAAGGCATGACCAAACTGGGCTTACTGGAAGATAGGGCCCTGCAAAATCAATAACAACTCCGGCTTCCTTTGTCTGCAAAGATGCTCTGGGATTTGAAGAAGTCATGGACTGCATTGGTTCTCTGCTAACAGTTGAAAAGAAATCATGAGTTTGGAAGAATAAATCATGCGTTTGGAAGTTTTAACTTGTCAAACAGAAGACCTTGCTTCTATCTTCTACAGACAGATAAAAAGGCATTACTACAACCAATTACGTAGAGACAGTATACTTCCACTTACTGTAAGACAGTAGGCTTTGACCAGTGACATGCAATCACCAGTATGGCACACCAGCATGAGGTGAAGCCCTTCATAGTGCCCCTGCAACTTGGCATCTCAAATGCAGCAAGAGACAAATCCACCACATGCTATAAATGGAGAATACTTTCTTCTTTCAGCTCCCAGCAACCACAACAGAAGGGATAGTTAAGAGATGGGAAATAATACCTCAAAGCAAATGCACATAGTTTATTTTCTCTCTCTTCAGTTCTTTTTTTCATTGGGGAAAAACAGATAGAAACATTCAAAGTCTAAAAGTTCAGACTAGCTTCTTGTTATTTTTCCTTGTCCATACGAGAAGGTTAAGCACAGTTGCCGAACTTCAAATTCCATCCTCAGTCACGAAGAACCCTCTGGCACAGCTCCCAGACTCGTAAAAAATGACCACTTCAGTCCCTAAACCATGGAGCCTGATCCACTAAGGCAAAACAAGTTCTACTGACAGCTGGTTTTCTTAGCATATTCACATCCATGTATTTATCATAGAAAAGCCCTCCAGGACAACAGTGTTTATTACAGGATTATTTCTGTGAATCTAGGGAACAAAGAATCTACAGAATCTACTGAGCAGCAGTGTTTCTACTCTTATTTCTTTTTTCTTAAAATGTGAACCAAGATAAACCCGCTTTATTTATTTCTTTATTAACATGGACTACCCATGAAGATTAAAAAAACACATAAAATTTGGTTTTTATCATGAAAAAATATAACTTCTGATCCACATTAATGTGTAGCACACTGATAAACAATTTAATATAGAAATTAGCTGTTCAGACTCCCATTTCTTGGATTTAGATTCTGGTGACTTTAAGCAGATGAAAAACAAAGATATAACAGATTTTTAATCGTAAGTTTCCTATCCAGAGGGATACCTAGTCTTCTACCACTGAGAAAGATAATTTGAGCAAGCAAGAAGTGTTATAGTGAGAGACTTTATGAATAATGTATAGAAATAAGGCAGAGACATAAAAGGTAATTAGTCCAGCAGTTCCTCACCACGCAGAGGAGTGCGCACAACAGTGCAGGCAAAGCCTCAGAATACCTGTTTTCCTAACCTAGCAGGGGGAAGAGGTCAAATGGATCAGCACGTGGGGAACTTTGGGTACTGATGCTGCTCAGCTCTGAACATTTCCCCAAAGCAGAACAGCTGAAAGTTGGGGATGAGGAGCATCCTGTGACCACCTCTGCTCTCATATGAGGAAGGAGGACTAGCTATGCACAAATGGATGCTGACAAGCACCATCCTCTCAAGCTGGGTGGCCTGTGAGGTTTACCAGCATATCATTTTCTCCAAAAGCATGCAGGAACTTGTTATTATGATACTATGGAAGTGCTGCTGCTTGCTTTTTTTTTTTTTTTTTTTTTTTTTTTCTTTCTGGTTGTATTTACATACATTATATATAAACTGTAACGTATAATCAGTATCCCATGTGTCACTGTGACTGAATCTACCTTTAAAAATAATTAAAAGCAACTGTTATTAGCTCTGTGTCTGTCTACTGATGCAATGTAATGAAGAATAAGAATTGTTAAAGAAAATAGAAAACATTTATAAATGATTGATTTCAAAGGAAGGATATATTAACAAGAAATTGTGGATAACATGTTTTAAATGATTGGTATTTAAAGGAGTGCTTTTAAATGCAGAAGTTTTAATGAAAGAATTAAATCACGCACAGTTATGTTTAACTGTTGTTGAGATGTTTACAAACCAACATGCTTCCCAACCCTACGAGCTGGTTTTGAGGGTTTTTCGTTTGCTTGTTTTTCAATTGTAAGACCTGGGCTTAACACTCCTTGCAATGAAGTCAATGGAATACCAACATCGACACCTGTACAAGCAACAATACCTTTGCACTGCATTTTTATCTCCCACTAAAAGACAACCTTTTTCAAATCTAGCATCTTATCTCCAAACCATAAAAAATGGGTATTTCCCTGATTTCACAAATCTCTTGGAGAGTCTCTGGCAATGAGCAATCAGTCTTACCAGTACTATGTTTACCATTCACCTAAAAATAGATCAAATGTGCTTTACAATAACACTTCAAAACAAAAACACTGTATTCATATTGCTAGGGTCCAAATTTGCTGACAAGATCTGTGGGTAAGTGTCATTTTTAGAAAATGCAACGTAGCAACACATACTTATATGGTGGATCACAAAAGCAATGAAATCTCTTGGGAAAGCTGGAGATAACTCACTTCACGCAGACAGTTCACTCTTATTTCTCTCCAAAGTTGAAGCATTTTTGTTTGCAAATGTTTTTTTATACATCAAGACAATGCTATTCCTGTTTGCTTGTTCTTCCTAAGGTGAACAGAATTAGTATAAACAAAATAATTGTGGGAATTTGGTATTTTTCCTGTTTTATTTAATACTTGGGAAGGTTATGGGTGGAACTGTCGACTACTAATTATTCTACCTCAAAATCTGATGCATAAAAAAAATACACCAGTAATTTGCTTACACGGTGCTTGTAGATGCAATTATTGTTAGCAGCGGGGAAGAACTTTTCATAAGCAGAACACAATTCAAATGTAAAATGCCATGGCCTCAAGTCATTAAAATTAATCCTCAGGGCCCTTTGAGGCTTTTTGTACTTTTGGCAAAAAGTATAAAGAAGTACGCATTGTTGCTTCAGTTCCCAAACATTGGAAAGTTAAATATCTGGACTGTCAGCCTCTGCTAAACAGAACAGAGATTGGTTTGGGAAAGAGCAAAAGACAAATGTCTCTTTGTTATTATAGCTCAATTGAACAAACACTGAAAACATACCTATGCATTTTTTCACAGAACAAAAAGTAACCGGTATAATACAGGAAAGTGCAGCAGCTCACAATCAAGCAAATCTCCTTCACTGGAAGTAAGAGACATTATGCCACGAAACAGTAAAAGCTGATTACATTAACACCACATTAGGTTACTTTGAAAACTAACATAGTGAACGTGAATCATAAGTAATCAATCTCATTCCCTCTCAGCTCTTAGGTAAACTATGGCTTACTAATGTCCAGACACCATGATGAACATTTTTAAACAAAGACAAACTGAAACACAGCCATGCTTTCTGGGTGCAGTATCTCCAAGATTGATATACAGATACCGTAAGAAGGCATGGCATGAAACTACAGGTAACACCGGCATGATTTTAAAGTGACTTTGTAAGATCTAAATTATAAAGCAATAAATGTGTCAGACATATCAGGTACGTATTAACACCATCCAAATACCATTCTGTTATACTGCTGTACATAGCACAATTAAAATCAGATGTTCTTCAGCGCACTGAAAGAAAATACAATATTTTATGGAAAGCAAAGTGCACTTTTGTATTGCTACTCTGCTCTGCTACTCAAGAGGTTAAAATCTTTCTAATGACACTACTGGAAAATGGAAAAAATCAGCAATGCATTAATTAGCACTAAGGTCATTTACATATACCTGGGTGGCCTAAAACACAGTTAATAGTCAACGTGTGACTAGAGCTGAAAACACAACAGAAACCAGTGACAGCTCATTTGCCATTAGCAGCAGTTGAGAAAAGAATCCTTTGGAACACTGATGGATAACTACATGTTTCAGTACAATTATGCTCTCAACTTTTGATAAAAGGTAGTGAATTGACACAAATATAAAAATTGAAAGGTTGCTAAGCATCTTATTCACATGCATGTATATGAACAGGTGTGCATGTAATATACATTTTCTTAAATAAAAAAATAAGAAATCTTTTGTCTTTATCTAAATCAAATCTTGAATTTGTTTTTTTAAATGGCACCCACCATGTTATCCAGACCAATGCCCTGCTGAGTGAAACCTTAACTTCTCTACCAGTTCAAAGGAAAGTCACTGCAGTATTGACCAGAAAAACAAAACATTACTGAAATTGTGTTAAATTACCCTGACTGGTGAATACTTGAAAAGTCTAATACTGTTACTTTTTTTGAAGCAGACAATGCACTGAAATAGGAGGAGCACTAAGGCATTCTTAATTCCAGAATCTGAAGAGCAAATTAATGAAAATGGACTGACTTCCTTCCATTTTAGGAGTTTTTCAGCAATGGTGTTTGTCAACTGCATTGTCCAACAACCTTAAAATTAAATATTCAGATATTCTCCTGGAAAAAAAGTAACCTTATAAAGATGCAAATTCATAAAACGCAGTTTAAAAAGCCCTCGGCCTTCTACAGCTCTTTAAACAAAGGAGTTACATACAGTCAGAGAACTTACCCATACACATATGTGCATTTATATGTACTCCTCATCCCTCAATGAAAAAATAATTAAACATTACTCCACAAAAAAGGTACCAGTGTGCTGTACCATAGGAGACACTCAAAATATGCTACAGGAAAACTCAGTATGATACTCTTCATGGATTAAAATGGTACTACATGCGGCCAATGATTTCTTCATCCGTATGTGATCCAGTCAGATATAAAACAAGCAAGAAGATCTGCCATTTCTCCACCACGCACAGACTTATAGTAAACATTATGACTTTAAGCAGTTTAAAGAAATATGACCATATCAGCTAGCCAACACTTCTCAAGGAAAGTATGAATAGTTCAAAGATGAAACAAAAAAACATTTCAGAACAAACTGTCGCACTTACTGTTCAATGCGTGGAGAGAGATACAGCTTAGGAAAAACCTGAGTAGCTTCTGCGTCCTCAAAACTAACAGAGAGAAGTGCGACATCTTCTCCAGGATCTTCATTCACATCCTGTACATAAAAATAAGAAAGATACAAACAACAGAATGAATACTTGTAAGCTTGCAGATAATGAGTCAGTCAAGTACCAATTTCTTTAAAAGATGCTTTAAAGGGGAATCAAAAGTGTGACTGCTGAAAAATAGGTTGAAAATTTCTTACTGTATTAGTACTTGAAAAATATTCTGTAGTGCTTAGTTCCAAGCACCAAAATAAAATTACTTATTACTTAACAAGTATACAGTAATGTAGCTATTCTTCAGATGGCAGAAAAACATATTTAAGTAAACATGCAGATTTCACTGTTAAGAATTCTCAGTTCAGCATTAACATCAGACACAAATACCAAGGAATTTTATGTTACAGTAGCATAGAATTAGGACAACAGACTTCACATTTGTTATTTTTCAACGAAGTGCATGGTGCATATTTTCTGCTGTACTCAACTCCTTTGTTTTGAAGAATTTTTTTGCAGTTAGGAACTTGTGTCTAGAAGTTACTGTCCTTGAACTTCCCATAGATTGAATCCCTGCATTACTTTCAGAAGGCTGCATGCATAATAAAGAGCATTGCAAATAAACAAATAAATAAATAAAATCCACACTAAGTATTAGGACAGTCAATATAAACGCATTCACAGTTAAGGCTCTCTTTGCATAAGAATAATCAGGCACAATTTTCGGATCAAGTAGAACAAATTTTGTTTCTGGATAAGACCTGATATCTCTCCAACTCATGAATCACATACAGCCCAGATAGCTGAATATCTGCTGAATTCAACTGCATTTGAGCTCCCAACTTTGTGTTAGAGCCGTGAATTAGCAGTACTAGCATCTTCACCTAGCACAAGTAATACGGTGCCACTTGCTGCACACAAACAGAGGTCCCTTAACATGTTTGTGCATATGTACATAGCAACTTGCCAAGATGCATTTGTTTTTATCCGCTTTGGAAAACTATGAGAGGAAACAGATAACCCAGCAGATCTGCACTCAGCACAGGATCAACATGGTGCAGCGTGCCCTGGTGTGGTCTGCCTTACACGCAGCTGGGAGGAAGGAACATGCAAACCACTTAAGACATTGTTTGAAGATCCTGCCCAAACTGGGGGAAAAAACTCACTGCTGAGTGGTTTCAGGAAGAAAATCTCATGCCATGTGAAGCTTTGGCAGGACTGGAACTGTTAACGTCCAGAGAGACTTGCTGCGTGTTACCTACTACGTGCAGAACACAACATGCCAAGAAATTTAGTGATAAGCTGAAGGGAAGAGTAGGTCTTAAAAAAAAAAACAAACACAAAAAAACACAAAAAACCACCCTAATTGTATTGCATAAAAATGAGACAGATCTGGAAGTGTTTTCTTAAATTCTGCTATGGTGTACTACTCAACTTTAATAGCTGGAAGAAAAGTGCACTCCTAAGAATGCCTATAAAATGGCTACAGGCACAGTCAGGCTGGGAATGAAACACTGCTTTAAGCTGCAGTTGCAGGATAACCCTCCATATCAGTATCAAGGATGACAATAAATTGCTTTCACGATGGGGTACCATCAGTTTACAGACAGGGATTCACTGCTGTAGCCAAGTAAGGCATCAATTGAATTTTCATAATTAACTTGCTAATTGTCAATAAAATGAAAAGAACTATTAATATAAACTAAACAGTCATGCTAATTATTTAAAATATTTTATTGTAAGAGGCATTCCTCAAGAAATGACAAGTATATATAATACATACCTGCGTATGCATGTAGCTCTCTTGAGACCACATTTTTTTTTTTTGTAATTCTTGACAAAACACTTATTAGTAGAGAGGAGAATCATGCTTTTCACAAAACTAAATCTACTTAATGCTTAATTTGGTACACAAATACTTTGCTATCATGCATATGATCAGCTTCTAGAATATCACTCAGGTGCTTACTGATCAAAGAAAAGCAAAATGAGGAAAAAAAAATCACTACAACACCCATTACCACTTACATATTATTACAATGTATTCATGCACTCATTAATAACTACTTTAATACAAAGACTCACAGCATAAAAGCAAAAAAGTACATAAATAAATGTAATAACTTGGCACATTGAGATGCAATAAGTTGATGTGTGCATTAAGAGCAATAAGCTCAGACGTAATATTTTTCATTTATAAAACTAAGACACAAAATACAACTACTGTTGCCAGCACATCACCACATTACATTCATATAGCTACTGTCCAATGCAAGTCTGAATAAAGAAATCAACATTCATCTCTAACTACCTCTTTTCAAGTAGATGTATGTTTTTTGCCTGCAAACCTGCAAAGTTAAAATTGTAGCTTAAAAACTAACAAAGAAACAAACAAACAAAAAACCCCACCACAAAACAGGCAGCATTCCCATAGGTTTTAAAAAGACGTGATGCAGTAACACGAAGGAGTTGCTCAACCTGGTTGCTCAGATGGCCACAGATTTATGTTGAAGTCTGTTTGTATTTGCACGATAGTGATTATTTCTTTCAGACTTTGCTCCTTTTATTTATGCAAGGATCTGCTTGGTGGAACTGCATTCATCCTTAGTATGTCTGGTGTCATTTATAAAATTAAATCAAAAACACATGTCCTACAGATAAACTGTAGAGAGACTTCAATTAACAGACCTTTTTGATGTTGTCTGCTCCAGTCACAGCTTAACTCCTTCAATGATATCTCTTCTGGTCATTTCTACAAGCTTGTTAATGACCAGGTGAAATGATGCATGTCTGAAGAAGTAGGCAATGACATTTTTCCAGCACAGGGGCTGATATCCTTCTCTTTCATCAAGGGGTCCAAAGGCAAAGGCTGTTTATACACTCCTTATCAAATTCTGACTGGCAATGTCTTGTCTTCCCTTTTCCCATTTCAGTATGTCTATTTCTCTCAAAAAGCAGGCAACTTTTAAACAAAGCAGCAAAACAAAATCACCTCTCTTTTTTTACTTTTCAGTTAGCCGTCAAGAGAAAGAGTAACTTCAATTGCTTCTTCACGACTATTCCCTTTTAGGAAACAAAAGGGGCTGTTGAACTCCAATCACAATACATTTTTTAAATTAAAATGGCCAAGGTGATTTTCATGATTTGTATTTGTATTTGACCCACACCACTTACTGCTGAATGATTTTATTAACACAATTCTACATTTACAAAAATTTGATTTTCTAAGATCTAAGAATGGCAATTTCACACAAAAATTAGCGTCCAATGTTAGAACTGCCATGTTAGAAAGCTAGTTCATACTCACAGAACTTTTTCTACCTAAGACTTTATGTAAGATATTATTAAACTGATCTTACACAGAATGAAGGATACATCTGGACCACAGGAATTTTGAGGTTTGAAAATTGAATGTTTCTAAAAAAACATCTGAGATCATTAGCTAAGCTTGTGATAATGCACGCATATTAGATTTTCCAAAACAGTCTTATGATTGCTAATAAAAATCTCTGGCACACTATAATATAAAAGATCCAACATGAGTTTTCTTGGTGTCTTTCTGTCATCCTGTTATTACATGTTTCTATTTCAAAAATTAATCTTCCCCTCATTACAGAAAGCACCTATACAAATCAAACATGAAAAAAGTGTGTACAAAACAAACATTAAAAACAAATAGCTTTCTATCTCAAGAACTACAAGTGTTTTCCTGTGTTTACACAAAACTTGCATAGCTGATCTTTTTAACTAAAAGTTCCATAGTGCCCTGGAACTGCAAATGTACACAGTAAAGCAGTGTGGTGAGAAAGAAAAAAAAACTACACATTTTCAACTCATATTTTATCTCAGGTTTTCTTTTTTTGTGTGTGTGTGTGTGTGTGTCTGTGTGTGTGTGTGGTGGTGGAGGGGGGACTGAGGGGAAGGAAGAGGGTTTTTGTTTTCCACAAGGTAAGCATAACGAGAAAACTCGTGATATTTCATTCAAATTTACTCTTTGTCAACTTAGCCAGTGCAGATGAAATGCTCATTAAACATGTACTTTTTACACAAAAGGACAAAAGGATACACGAAAATACAAATACAACACAGGACAGATGAAATTGAAAGTTACAGGTGATTTTAGAATTCCTTTTTTCCTCAAGGAACTTGAGGAAAAGAATTCAGGTATTGCAAGACTCAGAGAAGTCTCAAGACTTAAATATTCTATTTTTAACTGTATCACCACTGTCTAAACAACTATTTGTTAAATGTCATTCATATCAAGCTACATTTACATTAAAAGCATACTATAACACTTACAGTTGCTCTGTTTGCAAAATGCTTCACATTTTCAGGAAGTTAGTATGATTTGTGTACGATAATCATCAAATACACTTTAAGCATATCATCTAAAGGGCATTGTTTTCTTATATCCTACCTACTGTAATTGAAAACTGGGAATTTACTGGAACTGACAATTTATTATGAGTCAGATGGTTGATAGCCAGTCCAACCAAAACATCTGCTCCACACAGTCACAACTGCTATAACCCATTTCCTCTTGTGCCTGGAGTCTAACCAAGTTGTACATTAGAGCTTAAAGATGCAGATTCTGGAAAATAAGTTATTACCTTTTTTTAGTTATCAAGAGAAAAAATCTCCTTTCTTCCTTTTATTAGAATATTCTTTCAAGAAGTATTTTTATCACTGGCATGGAACAACCTGGGCAGCGCCAGGACTTGCTTTTTAGTTCAAGTGGAACACTTGAGAGGTGGAGGCTATGAGATGAACGGACAAAAGCATGCAGTGGACTAAGGTATAAAAGTCAGGTTAACTCTAAAGAAAGAATAAGGAAAAGAAACATCAAATTTGGTGGAAGGGATTGGAAAGGCTGTATGGGAAGAGAGTACTGGTGTGCTTTGGGAACGACAAGCGATTTGGGGTATGGGAATTGGTGGGAAACAAAGTAAGGGTGCAGGGCTTCTGGTAAGGATGCTATGTTTGGACCTCTGGAAATGAAAAGCATATGTCCAACCCACTGCAAGATCCTCTGGGCTAAGAGAGGCCACAATTGGCT